GTTTGTGGTGACATGATTTTGGAGATATGTCTGGTCTACGATGAAGGATTTTATGGTTGATGAAAGGTCGCAATTTTAGGATTATCTCTCTGTGAGTGATGAAAGGTTCAAATTCGTTCTTGCGGTGGTTTTCGGTGGCCTCATGGTGATTCTGTATAGGGTTGGTTGGTCCGGTGGAAGCACATAACAGAACATGGTGGCTAGGAGAATTAGGGTTTCTGAGGTTGAAAATGATGATGTGACATGTGTATCATGAGTAGGGAGATAAAGAAAATGTTTAGAAATAAATTAACTCACAAAATAAATTAAATACAAATTTCACAAATTAAATTAAATAACAACTCCACGAAATAAATTAAATACGAATTCCACGTTATAAACTCATCCACATGATCTGACATCACCTGCGCCATATTAACACATCTTAACGTTGTTTTTGTCTACTTAATGAAAAAGGCTTATTTATTACAAATTTAAAAAAATAAAGACTCAATTAAGATAACTTGAAACTTGATGATCAAATTGAGATTCCAATACAAAAATAAGGACCATCCAAAAATTTTAACATTTTCTAAAAAGTTGGAGATGTAGAGAGAAATGGTTGGAGGTGCAAGAAGAAATTCTCTAAATATTTAGTTACAACCAATCTTGTAAATATTTCATTACATCTTAATAAAAAAGTTATTATATTTATTAATTAAATAATTTGTATTTATATAGAGAGAAAAAATCAATGTATTATATTATATGTTATATGTAACTAAAGTATATTAACTACATAAAAATTCTTTTAAGTTTTTCAAACAAAAATGATTTAGTAAAGTAAATTTAAATGTTCTTATAAAAATCATTTTGATATTTGTGCATACATAGTTTTTCTTTATAAAATAAAATAAATTTTATTTTATAGTTTCATAAAATTAATTTAGCCATTTTAAAACAATATTAAAAAAAATCATAAAAGTTACTTGAAATAAATTAAAACCTACAACAATAGTGAAAGACAAATATCAATCTCATTTTAAATCAGTTGATCATTCGATTAATTATATATTTTATAAAGAGAAAATAACCTTAATTATATAATAAGTTGTAATAAAAATTATCATATTTATATATTTAATTAGACATATTTTGATATGTACATAATGAAGGGAAAAAATATTAAATAACAGTATTGTGAAAAAAGTTGTATAAAAATTAACTATAAAATAAAATTTTAAATATAAGAATTTAAGTCAAATATCCATAAATCAAATGACAACATTTTAAATATAAGCATTTAAGCCAAATATCTATAAATTATATTTTATTTTATATGATGTAAGAACTTAGAAAATAGAGTATTAGAGTAGATAGGTGTATTAAAATAATGAGACTGAGTATTTTATTTTAAAAGTAATCATATAATATAAATAGAAATTTTTAAAGCTCGTCTCATTATCTAAATACCTTCTATTTCTCTAAAACACTATTCTCTTCCCTTTCTCTCACTTCTCCCTACAATTTCTTGCTCCTCATTCATCTGTTCTACGATCAGGAGGTACCTAGGCGATCGTGGCGTCGAGGTCTACTTATATGTCCGAACAATTTCTTGATTTGAACAGGTAAGTGCCGTCCCCCTTTTCTAGGTTTTTCTTGAATTTGTGTTGTGCAAAGAAATTATGCCTTTGCATGTGATTAGGGTCTCCTTCTATTGATTCTTAGCTCAATTTAAGTTCTAAGAGTTGTTTTCTATCACCAATTGGTGATTTGTAGGTGTTTCTAGAATTTCCTTGCGGTGCAAGCAAATTCTTGGGATTTCTTTGAGCTGTGCGTTTTGGACCTGAGGTAAGAGAACCTAGAAATGTCTGAATTGTAATTAATCGTGTATGTGTATGTTGTTGAGGATAAACTTGTTGAGCTGTTTGAGCTGAAATCATGTTTTAGGGTAAGTAATTATGATGTAAATTGATTGTTTTGAGTATGGAATGTTGATCTGGGATTGTGAACTATATTAAGTGATGTTTTCTCTGTTATTAGATGTTTATGATGTTGGAATTTGTGATATGAAAGTTTAGTGATAAGTAGGAACATTTTAATTGTGATTTTGGGTGAGTTTTGAGGAAGTAGAGTAGTGAAATTTTGATTTGGGGGTTAGACACTCAAATGGTCAATTGCAATTGTTTAGGTAAGTCTTTTGGGACTTGCTTGAGTCCCTAGACTGCTCAAAAATGCACCAAAAGTGGTTGATTGAGATTTGGCCCTATAAGTTTGTGTTTTGAAGAGTTTGAAGTGTTAATTGTTTAGGAAACACTTTGGAATGATGTTTGTAAGGTATAAAAACAACTGTACAAGTTAAATTAAGTATATAAAACAATCTAGGAGAGTTAGAAGTTGGGAAAAATAGTTAGAATTGGTAAAAATTGGTATAGGTTGCGTAATTTTGCATAATTGGTGTTGCAGATTATGCAGACTCGCTGAGCAACTCCACTCGCTCAGCGAGTGGTTGTAGAGGTTGGTTTTCTGTCTGAGGACTTTCGCTCAGCGAGAGGGTGCGCTCAGTGAATGGTTGAGGTCTGGGAGCACTGTCACTTTTATTCGAATAACAAGTGGAGTCGCTCAGCGAGTGGTTGTAGAGGTTGGTTTTCTATCTGAGGACTTTCGCTCAACAAGAGGGTGCGCTGAGCGACTAGTACTAGTAGTGATGTATGTTTTCCTTTTTGTTTATGTTGATGCAATTATAGTTTTGATTAGTATGTTGAGTGATGCATTCTTGTGAATTGACATGTTTTACTTACTAAATATGAGTATTGAACTTAAACCCATGTCTCAGGGTGAGATTCATGGAAGTAATTTGGTTGAAGTTGTAGTTGTAGTTGTTAGGGTATGAATGTAGCTTTGAAATGGTAGTCTATTTCGACACTCTAATGATCATTAAATTCTCAAATAGAGAGGAATGATGCACGTGGTGAGAGTATCGAGAGGTTCTTGTTATAGGCTTTGAATTTAGTCTAGACACTGGAATGGACTAACCTTGTATGGTGTTGGAGAGTGCCAACAGTACCATACAAGTGAATAGACTACCAATAGTTCGACATTCATATCCAATCCGGATGAGTCTTGTAGAATATGAGAGGTTTGGAGTGATAGTAGTATATTGTGTCCTCTTGAATTGAGGGCTGAAATTTGTTTAATTACTTGATTTAATATGACTTTTTCTTATTTATCTAGCCTACCCTTTTTGTTTGTTGTGTTAATTGAATGTTTTTTGCATTTTCTTCCTGGTAATGATCATCCGGTGGATGTGAGGGTGAGGAGTTATCTGTGGAGCAGGCTCTTGGTGATGGATGTGCTGCTGAGTAGAGTAGCTTTACGTTAGTTTTGTAAATGGTTTTGAGTTACCAGTTTGTATATAAGGTTTTGAATTTATAGTTGTTTTTGGATAACTTGGTGATGGATGTGTTGCTGAGTAGAGTAGCTTTACGCTAGTTTCGTAAATGGTTTTGAGTTATCAAGTTTGTATATAAGATTTTGAATTTATAGTTGTTTTTGGATAACTGTAAATGGAACTCTATATTTTAGCTATAATTGTTTTATTACATCAGTATTGTGATGACTCTTTTATATAGTTTTATACTATATTTTTGGGATGTTACATATGACAGTGAAATAAAATAACATATAAAATTAAAAAATAAATAAAATATATAATTTTGTATTTTAAATTTTACTTTCTAATTCATAAAAACTAAAAGAAATAATAATATAAATATCAATGTCATTTTAAATTAATTAGTCATTCTATTAACTTAATAAAAAAAATCTTATATGAATATTATTTATTCATATGTTTTATTTTATATATAATTTTATAAATATGAGAAAATTTAATTACATAATAAATTTTAATAAAATGTTTTCATATTTAATTAAATGTATTTTTTTAATATGTATACAATGAGAAAAAAATTTATATTTAAGCACCAGACTGTAAACAAAATTATAAAAAAATAAGTTAAAAGTATTATCAAATAATAATTTAAATATAGTAATTTAATTTAAATATTCCTAAACTAAATGAAAATTTTATATATTATAAAAGTAATTTTAAAAGATTTTATTTTGTGACAGAAAAATAAAATTGTATATAAAATTAAAATAATTAAAAAGTAAAATATATAATTTTACATTTTTAAATTTTCTTTCTAAATTCATGGAAACAAAAAGTTAATATTTTCTATATTATATATATATTTTCTATTATATAT